TGATGGTAGATTGGTTTATACCCTTGATAAGTCGATTAATTTGCGATCAATGACAATAGCTACTTTTTCAATACTTAAAATTTAGTTTAGGTATTGGTATTTTTGCGATTAAAGATTTTTCTTAGCAGATTTTTTTTTTAAACAAGGAGATTGGAATTATTATTTAATATACTAATTTAAATTCTGACTATTTTTTTTTTTCATTCATGCTTTTAAACTGAATTTGTGTTCCTTGGAGATGGTATATGGAAAATTTTATTATTAATTATATATATAATTACATATTTTGGTTGGTTTCACCTCCCATTTTAGTTGCGAACATCTACATGTTATAGCAACCCTATATACAAAATTTCAACGTTCTGAGGCTACTCGTTTTTGAGTTATGCGAGATAATACGTACGTACAGACACCACGAAAAAATCTCTTCAGACTTCATTTTAAATGTTTATAATTTTTTTGGAGGGGAAAAAAAGAATATTTTATTCTGTCCTTACGTACAGATGTCACGCAAAAACATCGTTAACTTGCGTTCGATAGCGGTCAAAATGGATATTTTCGTTGTAATATGTTGTTGTTTCGTTGTACCCAAAATTTTTCGCGATTACAATACTTCCTTTTTACTTCGTACAAGGGAGCAAAAAGAGCCCAAGAAAATATATTAAAAGAATTTTTAAGAGCAGTGAAATTTCTCACACTAAGAAACATAACACAAGGTCTCAATACAAAAGAAAAGCATTGCTCATGCACAAAATATTTAAGCCGGAACTTATCGAACAGGCTCAGAATAAATGCAGTCAACAAATTGCTTCTGACTCGGTCATAATTCAGAAAATGATCCTGGCATTCTAATGTTGATCACTTAAGCATGACGTTTTCGATATCCCAACAGATTTCTGCCCCGTAATGCGAACTTCAACACACGTAATGCAGAAATGACTTCATTTTCTCACGACTGTGGCATACCTTTATTCTTTCTTTGTCTTGCATAAAGAATCCTAAAAGTAAATATCTTTCCTTTTGGATTTTTTTTTGGAATATAGCTTGAAGTCTATGTATTATAAAAATGTATGATACATTTTGTGTAATACATTTTATGTATACGTGCTAAGTATATAACGCACAAATCTCCCACAAATATATTGGTTTTACCGTTCAGTTTTGAGTCATTTTAGCAATTTAAAATAAGCACTGTATAAAAAATTATCTTCTTCTTGCCGAACCGATTTCATAAAATAAATAATTAAACCTTATGTCTTCCACCTTTATAAAAATAATATAATAACTGCCTTAATTCATTCTTCAGCTTCTTGTAGTTCATTCCATAATTTTTCACCTCACTTCCTTCTCTTCACCTATAACTTTCATAAAAATATGACTCGTTTTATAATCTGATGTTAGTCATCTAAGAATTACTTAGTTGGCACTGAGATAAGTTGACTTTCATAAAACAATCATCATTTACAGTAAACAAAATGAATGAATAATTCCATCTTTTGCTTCACTTTTCATTAAAACAGTCCAAATTGCATATCCACTTTCTATCAGAAATATAATTTTCCCTCTTCCAGCTTCTTTTCACAGGCTGAATTCTAAATACTGACTGATATCAATTATTATCCATAATTTACAATGAAAATAAATTTTTATTATGCTGCAATAGGTTATCAGCTGCTTTCAGAATTCATTAAACCTTAATTTTTTTAAAGCACTGAACAGCAATAAGCCTTGAAAATTAAAATGCAGATGTTAACATTTTCTTTATTGTTCTTAATATCTTCTCAAAATGATTTAAAAAATATATTAGACTTTCTTGAAGTTCACCAGAACTTAGATCATTCTATTCGCATCTAAAAAAAGTATGTAAAATTCCTTGCCTTTCTTAATCGGTATCTCGCATCTTGATATCTTGAAAGAAATGTGTTGTCATTTCCAGCAAATACTGCAGTGCTTTCTTAAAACAAACTAGACTTTTTTCGTTCAGTCGAACATTAAGTTTTAAGATATTGTATCCGTGCAATGAAATTTCGATAAACTCGAGTGAGTTAGTAAATGCATTCTCACCTAAAATAAACATTTTCACCTTCTTTCAACACAGATCTAACGTTTCCCACAACGCGTTACGCAACAGAAATCAGACGGAATATCGGGACGTCTGGTAAGACGTCTGAGAATGCTGGTAAGAAAAAAAAAAAAAAAAAAGTGTTTAGATCAATGGAAGCCTCATCAGCGCATGACGTGATTTAGCAATAGAAAGTTGGAACAAGCAGCCGGCGAAAGAGTGGGATTGAAATTAGCTGTAAATAGATCACTTTATAAAAAATAATTTTCACAAAGGAACTTGCTATATTAGATTCGAAAAAAAAAAAAAAAAAAAAAAAAAAAAAAAACAAAAAAAAAAAAAAAAAAAAAAAAAAAAAAAAAAAAAAATAAAAAAAAACAAAAAAAAAAAAAAAAAAAAAAAAAAAAAAACAAAAAAAAAAAAAAAAAAAAAAAAAAAAAAAAAAAAAAAAAAAAAAAAAAAAAAAAAAAAAAAAAAAAAAAAAAAAAAAAAAAAAAAAAAAAAAAAAAAAAAAAAAAAAAAAAAAAAAAAAAAAAAAAAAAAAAAAAAAAAAAAAAAAAAAAAAAAAAAAAAAAAAAAAAAAAAAAAAAAAAAAAAAAAAAAAACAAAAAAAAAAAAAAAAAAAAAAAAAAAAAAAAAAAAAAAAAAAAAACAAAAACAAAAAAAAAAAAAAAAAAAAAAAAAAAAAAAAAAAAAAATTCATTTAATGTTATATAAGTTTTTATACTTCTAAAAGTTTACAGTTCTCTTTGCGGATCAAGATTTTAATACTATTTAGAAATAAAAAATACAAGAAATTTTTAATATAACGTCATTTTTAAAGAGAAGATGATGTGAATTATTTTATACCATGAGATTCAACAACTGAATCTTCTACTGAAAACAGCTTTGCATTATTACCTCATTATCATTATTAAAAATCAGTATGAATTATTTTGTCTTTTCAGTATTCTGCTAGTAAAAACCTTTGCATCACACTGAGGTGAAAAATATGACTCTGTACTCGCTATTTTCTTTTATTAAAACTCCATCAAAATACTACCGAAAAGTACATAAAATTATTGGGTAGTCAAGAAAGATTTTTATTATTATTAGAATGCATAACATAAGCAGTTCACTGAAATGCGGTTTGCGTGAAAAGAAGAAAATTCGAAAAAGTTTAATAGCAGTATGCATAACGGTGCAAAACTATTAACGCCCAAGAACACGTGAATTCTAATGACAGAAACCAAGTAAATCGAGCTATAACATGATATATATTTATTATGGATTAACGTCCAAGAACACGTGAATTCTAATGACAGAAACCAAGTAAACCGAGCTACATCATAATATATATTTATTATGCCTAAGTTCCCTTTTCCGATCACTGAAATCCCACCCACATGTTCTTTCTTAACAAAACTCATGAAGCAGAATAGCTTGGATAATATGAATAATAGCGTATAACAAAATGGAATCCATGGAATACTGATACACACAACCCACATCGCTCTCTGAATTATACTCTTGCAATTAAATGAGCAAATTACCCAAGTAACATGACGGTAGTAAAGGAGGTGCTGGACATGCAGGTTGTATTTCCGTAGCTCAGAGCTCAAGTAACAAGTTAAGCAACCCACATTAGAAGCTCATATAACAGATTGGGCACGGTGGTTGTGTTGTGTTTCCGCAAGTTAAAGCAGAGCGCAAAGGAAGAAAACGTAACACATTTAAGGCTGTGTGAATATGTGAACTTTTACTACACACGATACCCATACATTTAAATAGCACATGTAAAAGAATTTATTTTTCGTAAAGATTAGAATTATAAGGCATCTACAATTTATTTGTCCGATTAAGAAATCCAGAGAAAACTAACATACATCGGAAAACAGTTTACAATTAGTTTTTTATTCAACAATTAGTTAACAAATTAGACTCTGCCTTTCTCAGACAAGGTACCTTCGGTCATATGAATTACAATTCAGAAGTACATGGAATTAATGTCTTAATTCAGTCAACAAACAGTTAACAATTAGTTTTTTATATTTTAAATTAATTTTTGGGATTCTGAAAACTTTTTAATGCTTCTTTTCCTTTTTCGAAGAACAAAAATCGGAACTCTATTGCTGTCCAAGTATTTTCTAATATGCTGTTAAAAAAATAGTTCTGATAGAAGAAATGGCAGGAAAATCAAATCGCACACTTGACGAATTTGAGATTGTTGGTTTGCTGGACGAATAGGTATCCATTACAACACTACACAGAGTATACGGGAAGAATGCCTTAGTTCTTTAAATTCTCTCCCACCTGAAAATGGTCGGGGAGGAGACCGGATGATTCCAATCGACCAACCATAAGTTACTAACGTCTTAGCTCCTAACCTTTTTATTTAGGTGCCATTTGTACAGCAAATGACTTTTAGAGCGAAGTATGGTAGGTAGAAAAATTAGATTCTGCCTTTCCCAAACAAGGTACCTTCGGACATATGAATTACAATTCAGAAGTACATGGAATTAATGTCTTAATTCTATACAAATAAAATAATACATAATTCTCTGCTACCCAATCAGATCGGATGTAAGTACAAATACATACAAAAAGAAAGCTAGTCAAGCAAAATTAATAAGGAAGGCTACAGAAATGTTTCTTAATTGAGATGGTTGGCACATAAAAGAAATATCACAGAAAGGGAGGCAGAAGTTTCTTGAAATGTGGCAGGTATATATAATGCATTAGTCATATAATACACAAAACTGAAATCATTATGGTCGTGGTTTGCAGTGAACGGGAAAAAAAAAAAAATTCTGGTCGCATAAAAGAAGCCTTCCTTGAAATTCGAAACTTTGACATTTTAGCTTTTAAATTCTCAATTATTTTTAATAATACAGTATATTACAACAAATGGCACTTAAATTTAATGAGTGAATTGCAGTTTTGCTTTAATAGAACTTACTTAACATATTTCCGATATGCGTGGCTTAATCTTCGAGACAAGCATGCGGTTTAATGGCAAGATCAATAAGTACTACAAATACTTTTCACGCACAAATGAAATGTCTCAGACTACACGCAACATAAATCCAGAAAAGATATCGTGATCCTAGAAAGAAAACGCAAGCAATTATTTTTCTTAAAGACGTATTATTCTGGGTATATTTCTATTGTATCAGAAAAATTATAGTACAAGAAAAGAAACTTATACAAGAAAAGAAACTTGAAATGTTAACTTATGTGGGAAACATACTAATCAAAATAAGTTTTTTTTTTTTTTTTCCAGAAAGTAACAAATAAATCGTATGTAGCAATACTGAAGAAGGGAAAAAAAGAACATCCCAACTTACATAATGGGCGGAATCACAAGATAAACAGTGATTTTCTTTTGCAATAAATATAAGGGCTGGGAATAGCGAAAAAAAAATATTTCTTGTTTGTTCGAAAAGTAATGCAAAATCACATTTTTATGAGGAAAAGTATCATAAAATTTACTCGCCCATACGGTCGCCAAAGGCATGCTTAGCTGATTTTTTAACAATGAGATACTATTAGATAAGTATTAACCACTTTTGAGATGTGCTTATCATCCCGAGTAGCGATACGGACCTTCTCATCATAGGAAATATAGGATGCATATATTTAAGAATGGGAAAAGTGCCACGGAAGTCTAATGCCTCATGGATCCGTTACAGATAAATACGATAAAATAATTATTGCTTCCCAGTTCTAATTTGAAAACCATACGGCTGCCTTACATTACTGTTCAAGAAGAATACTATATGGAACACTCATCATAAATCTCAACTTTCTGGCGGCTATCATGAATCAGATGAACATGTTGTTTCTGTTACTTATGCTCACTTGTCGGCTCAGGCAAACACGAAGAGTTTCGCACAATGGGTCCCCGCGTTATGTCGCTATCCCGGCATAATGCTAACGACTTTCGATTTCTTGAAGTTTCGAACAGTTTATGAAAGTAACGAAGCAAATAAAAGTTTAGAACAGTGATGAGCTGGGAGAAAACAATGACAGAGTCCGACGGAAAATACCCCTGCAGTGCAGGCCGTAACGAAGGTAAGTGCGCATGAATAAAACAATGGCATGGAGAGGAAAAAAAAAAATGCCTAAATCTCACTGAATACTAGAGAGTCCACATGTGTATAGTAGTCATAGCAATAGTAGTTAGCATAAATTAACGAAAAATAACATTAAATATAAAACATAGTGGGAAGTAAGAAAATAAAATATATACAATATTTACAAGTTAGATACTTACAACAAAGCAACACCCCCCCCCAAAAAAAAAAATCAGTAAAAGAGGGTGTACAGGAATATTTAAATTTGTCAGTTGGATGGATACAAAAGTTAGGAATCTCAAGCTCCTGGTGAACTGCCGTGTTTCTAATGAGGCATCGACAGTTCGCCGCTTGTCGGAGTATTACGTTTTGTAGTATTTGGATTTTCTTTACATTTGTTATACTCGCATATCCCCAAACAGGGCAGGCATAAGAGAGTATGGGACGCAAAAGGGTCTTGTAAATGAGCAATCTGGTTATCTATAGAGAGAACTGAGTTCCGGCCAATTAAGGGGATAAGTGTTCGTTTACGAGCTCGGAACTTGGCAATAATCTGCGTAATGTGTGGGGTTCAGGTGAGTCGCCTATCCAAAGTAATACCAAGGTATCGGGCATGCTCAGTCCACTGAATAGGAGAGTCGTACATATAAATACATTTTGCAGTATCGATGGTGATCCTTTTTGTGAACCAAATGGCCTCAGACTTTCCTACGTTGATCTTGACTTTCCAGGCGTTAAGCCAAGACTCAAGTGTGTGGATGTGTGTTTGGAGTGCTTGTATAACCGGGCCAGGAGATGCATTTTTTGAGAGGATTGCCGTGTCATCGGCGTACATTGCCAGGGTGGTGTGTGGTGATTGTGGGATATCGGTCGTGTAGATATTATAGTAAATGGACCCAAGGAGGCTCCCTTGCGGGACGTCAAGCCTGATAGCCCGTGGAGTAGAGTGTGTGTTGTTTACACGAACGATAAAGCGTCTATCCTTAAGATAAGAGTAGGTGATGGCTGTGATGTACTCTGGGAAACCCAAGATGATGATTTGTACATAAAGCCCTCCAGCCAAATCCGATCTAAGGCTTTAGCTACATCGAGGAAGATGGCACTTGTGGTTTGTCGTTCCTGAAGTCCTTGCGAGATCATTTCAATGACTCTGTAGAGCTGGTGGACAGTTGAGTGCTTCTTAAGAAACCCATGCTGCTGTGGAATAATGATGTTATTAAGTTCAGTATAAGCAAGGGTTCTCTGGAGAATGATGTACTCGGCTACCTAGCTGAGCGAAGATAGGAGGCTGATGGGTCTGTAAGAAGCTGGCTCTGTAGGTGGCTTTCCAGGCTTTGGGACTGGTGTTATAATGGCTGATTTCCATGGCGTAGGGTAGTGGCCCAGGCGAAGCATGTCCTTGATGATAGCAACCAGTTTGAGTAGCATGAGGATCCCCATGCACTTGATCATCTTATTTGAGATCTTGTCCAGTCCTGGACTCTTGTTGACAAGTAGTTTCTCGATGTAGCCGTAGACCTCTGAATGTTTGACAGGAGTAATGTTGTTCATGCGCGGCTTTGAGAGGAATTCTGTTAGTGTACTGTTAACCAAGTATTCTGTTGGAGGGTGGGAGAAGTTGTTTGTGCGGAAGTGAGAAGCATAGTGATCAGCTAGTGACTCAGCTTTATCAATTTCGGTGGTGGCAATTTTCTATTGGCTGTTTAAAGGCGGAATGTTGGTGTAGCATCTCTAATTTTGCAGTCGCCTTCCAGACGGAGCTTTTCTCTGCTGAAAGGGAAGAGAGATAGTTGGCCCAGTCACGTTGTGTATGTTGGTGTGTGAGAGCCCTGACCTGGTGGTTTAGTCGATTAAGCACAGTCTTATCCGCAGGATACCTGTACATTTTGGGCCATTCCTTGCGGGCAGTTTTTCTTTCTTGAATGAGTTTTTTTAGTTCTGGGTCTGTAGCTTTTTTTCTGTGAGAGACAGGAGTGCTGTTTGCATCAAGGGCATTTGTTAGTTCAGTGGTAAAGCTGATAACCAGTGCATCTAACTCATCACCTGTGTGTGCTGTTGGAATGTGTAGTGTGGTGTTGTTTAAGGCTGCCCAGTTGGGCCTTTATTACCAACTGGGCAGGATATGCCAGTTGGTAATAAAGGCCTTTTTGTGTGGTGTGCTACAGACAGAGGTCCCCACTTTAATCATGACCGGGTTGTGGTCAGAGGAGAGTTTGGATGGATTTCGAGTGGCAGCCTTTGAGAAGGAAGAAATCCAAAACATTGGCTGATCTGTCGTTGTAGCGTGTTGGGGTATCTGGAGCTGCAATAGTAATTCCTGCCTCACTGGCAAAGCGGTAAATTACAGTACCTAGGTATGAGGAGCGATTGCAGTTCCATGCGCGGTGGTGTGCGTTGAAGTCTCCGCCTATTATTGTTTTCTGTTGAGTTGGAAGTCTGACAGTAACATCAGCCCAAGCCCACGAAATTCCTCGTAGCAAGGAGCGCAAGATACGCCTGTCGTTGCCAACAGCCTTGAGCAACATACAGGTGACAGTGCGATTTAGTTCACTTCCGCCCCCATTTTTGATGGAGAGTACTCCGGGGGGGAGTGGACGGATCCTAGATTCTCTCACCCCTCTCCCATTCCACTAAACCCCACGAGAGGACTTTCGGCTCGCCGCATTTTTAGAGTGCGCCATGCCGCACCGACACTATATATTTACAAACATCAATGCCTTCTCCGGTATTCAAACACAAGCACTTCGGCACGGCAGTCAGCGACACTAACCACTATACCGGTTGGACGGCTCAGATGAACATGCTTCACTTTATTCCAAAAGAATACTATTTATTTCTGAATGCCCAACCACTCTGTTGCTTCAGCCACTACGAAATATATTTACTGTTTGTTCATTTTTTCAACATATAACACATCACAAAAGTTACCTTACGCAAATAAGTTCCTGGCTGCAGTTTAGACTCATTTCCTTTAGCGATACTCCACCAATCCCTTCTGTAATTGTGAGAATCCCATTCATACAAATAAAGCAAAACACAAATTTTTCGAAATTCGACTGTCCCAACAGTTCCAATTTGAAAAGCAAAACACTAATCTGAGTAATTCAAAATTAAGTTGCGACAATGAGGAATACGAAATGGATATATGAAGAAGATTGAAAGATATCTAAATCACAATGAACGAAAGGATTAAACACTGATGCCAGTGATTCTCGACATAAAATTTTAAACGACACAATCATATTGTTAGAAAGCCAAGACATTGAAGAATTAACGGAAAAATACTAATAAAAATTTATCCGTACTTTTAAGCAGTTTAATTTGGAAATTAAGTTCACTTGCTTACGTAAATTAACCAGCATTTAAAATAAAGATACATTTTAAAACAGAAAAAACAATGTTTTTGTTTATATTACTCTTGAATTTCGATAAGAGTCAATAGGCTACTCGAGGGCATACGGCCTCGAGTCTATACGGCAAAGCCTCGAGGGCTATCTGCCTAAGGGGAGGGATGCCTACGTGAGGACTTTCTAAGAGAAACTGGCTCGTATACACGTTACACATGGGGAAAACCACGAAAACACCCATGCAGCCAGCCCGTTCGCGGGATTCGAACCTCGGACCGAACTACCAGTGTTCAGCGACTTTACCGCTCGGCCGCTCAGGAGTCAATAGAAACAGAAGATTAATCGCAGTACACTTTTTTTAACGATTTAGTAATTTATTTTTATTACTGTTTTGAAAATTAAATTACATACTACAGTAGCTAAAACAATTCCTAAAATACTGTGACTTCGATCTTCTATGAGTGCTGTTATCCCCAACTGTTTTTTCCGCAGAAATTTTACTTTATTCTGATGGTTTGCAACAGCATCGTTCCGCAACAAACTTTGTTTTTCAGACACGGGCAGGTTATTACGCAGTTCGATTAATCGGGAGTTGACAGTATATTTCCAAGTTTTACTTCAGACTATCATTTAACCTTGCAGATAAAAAAAGACAGAATTGGCTAATATATATATTTTTTAAG